GACCGGGAGATTACTTTCTATCTTCCGGGAGACGAGTCGATTACTTTCTTCGGCTCTAAGAACCGTTCATTGCCTCATGTCATATCGATGGCGAAAGCCACTAAGCTATTGCGGCGAGGCAACTGCCAGGGTTACCTGGTAAGCCTTATTGAGGATTCTCAGAGAGCGCGGACACCTCATGATGTTCCTATCGTTCGCGAGTTTGTTGACGTCTTTCCAGACGAGCTACCAGGAGGACCGCCCAATCGCCAGGTGGAGTTTTCCATTGATCTTATCCCAGAGGCCGGTCCAGTATCTAAAGCCCCATATCGCATGGCACCTAAGGAATTGCAAGAGCTTAAGACTCAGATCCAGGAACTTTTACGACTCGGTTTTATCCGACCGAGTGTGTCACCGTGGGGAGCACCCGTTCTTTTTGTTAAGAAGAAGGACGGATCTATGCGAATGTGTATCGACTACCGGGATCTCAACCGGCTGACGATCAAAAATAAGTACCCGCTTCCCAGGATCGACGACTTATTCGACCAGTTGAGGGGAGCCTGTGTATTTTCGAAGATCGATTTACGGTCAGGCTACCACCAGCTGAAGATTAAGGAGTCAGACACCGCTAAGACCGCTTTCAGGACTCGTTACGGCCATTACGAGTTTGTAGTCATGCCTTTCGGTCTCAGCAATGCGCCAGCAGTGTTCATGGATCTCATGAACCGTATCTTTCATCCATACCTCGATCAGTTCGTGATTGTCTTTATTGACGACATTCTCATTTACTCGAAGAGTTAGAGAGAGCATGAGGAGCATCTGAGGGTAGTTCTCGAAACCCTCAGACGAGAGAAGTTGTACGCCAAATTCTCCAAGTGCGAGTTCTGGCTTCAGCGAGTATCTTTTCTGGGTCATGTTATTACCCAGGCAGGCATCGAGGTGGACCCATCTAAAGTATCAGCCGTGCAGAATTGGTCGACACCGAGGAATCCGTCCGAGGTTCGCAGTTTTCTCGGATTAGCTGGTTACTATCGCAGGTTTATCGAGGGCTTCTCTAAGATTGCCCTCCCCCTTTCCCAGCTGACCAGGAAGACTGTGAAGTTCGAATGGACTGACAGATGTGAGGCGAGCTTTCAGGAGCTCATGAGGAGATTGACGACAGCACCGGTGTTGACTATCCCAGACCCTACTCAGAGTTTCAC